AGCCACATGCAGAAGAATGAAACTGGACCATTTCCTTACACCACACACAAAAATAGACTCCAAATGGTTGAAAGACCTAAATGTGAGGCAGGAGTCCACCAAAATCCTAAAGAACACAGGCAGCAATCTCTTCGACCTCAGCCTCAGCAACTTCTTCCTAGAAACATCACCAAAGGCAAGGGAAGCAAGGACAAAAATGAACTATTGGGACTTCATCAAGATAAAAAGCTTTTGCACAGCAAAAGAAACAGTCCACAAAACCAAAGACAACTGACAGAATGGGAGAAGGTATTTGCAAATGACATATCAGATAAAGGGCTAGTATCCAAAATCTATAAAGAACTTATCAAACTCAACACCCAAAGAACAAGAATCCAATCAAGAAATGGGCAGAAGACATGAACAGACATTTTTCCAAAGAAGACATCCAAATGGCAACAGACACATGAAAAAGTGCTCAACATCGCTCGGCATCAGGGAAATCCAAATCAAAACCTCAATGAGATACCACCTCACACCAGTCAGAATGGCTAAAATTAACAAGTCAGGAAACGACAGATGTTGGCGGGGATGCGGAGAAAGGGGAACCCTCCTACACTGTTGGTGGGAATGCAAGCTGGTGCAACCACTCTGGAAAACAGTATGGAGGTTCCTCAAAAAGTTGAGAATAGAGCTACCATACGATCCAGCAATTGCACTACTGGGTATTTACCCCAAAGGTACAAATGTAGGGATCCGAAGGGGTACGTGCACCCCGATGTTTATAGCAGCCATGTCCACAATAGCCAAAGTGTGGAAAGAGCCAAGATGTCCATCGACAGATGAATGGATAAAGAAGACATGGTATATATGTACAATGGAATATTATGCAGCCATCAAAAGGAATGAGATCTTGCCATTTGCAACAACGTGGTTGGAACTGGAGGGTGTTATGCTGAGTGAAATAAGTCAATCAGAGAAAGACATGTATCATATGACCTCACTGTAATGAGGAATTCTTAATCTCAGGAAACAAACTGAGGGTTGCTGGAGTGGGGGGTGGGGTGGGAGGGATGGGATGACTGGGTGATAGACACTGGGGAGGGTATGTGCTCTGTTAAGCGCTGTGAATTGTGCAAGACTGTTGAATCTCAGATCTGTACCTCTGAAACAAATAATGCAATCTATGTTAAGAAAACAAACAAACAAACAAAAGAAGATGATAGCAGGAGGGGAAGAATGAAGGCGGGGAAGTCGGAGGGGGAGACAAACCATGAGAGACGATGGACTCTGAAAAACAAACAGGGTTCTGGAGGGGAGGGGGGTGGGAGGATGGGTTAGCCTGGTGGTGGGTATTGAGGAGGGCACATTCTGCATGGAGCACTGGGTGTTATGCACAAACAATGAATCATGGAACACTACATCAAAAACTAATGATTTAATGTATGGTGATTAACATAACAATAAAAAAATAAAAATAAATAAAAGTGCACCAACGCCATGTGTGTGACAAGGGCACTGTCCACAAGCTGTAGAGTGAAGATAAGAGGTCAATGGCAAAGCAAATCTAACCCAAAGAAGTGTAAATGTCAGGGTACCATCCATCCAGTGGAATCCACTTATGTTGGCCGGTTGCCCAGCAAGTGAGGACAAGGACCCCTATAGGGAACTGTATCTTTCCGCTCTCCAGAGAAGAAATGGGGAAAGGCAACGGGCAGATTTCTAGAACCGTACTCTACAGATTTCTGCAGCTGGGCAGGCCAGACCACCCAGTGATGACTGTGGAGGAGGGAGTGGTGGTGAGGCAAACCGTCAGGGTGGGGGTCCAACAGTTGAGTTTTGTGCGGCCCCTGCCCCATCACGCTTGCTCAGTATGCTCGTGCATACCTGGACTTCCAGTTCCAGGTCTGTGACCAAGTTCTCAGCTTGGTAGATTGAGTCTGCCCTGGGCCCCGGCTCTGGCCAGATGTGCTGGGGAGGGGGCAGCTTCCCACCCCCTCCCCCTGCCATGCTGAGTACTCTCCCCCAAGGCTCTGTGTGCACTAATCCGATGCCATCAGATACCACCCCTGGATGGCAGCCAAGATCATCATCACATGCCATCAATCTTTCCTGTTTTTAAGGCCAGGGATGACTGATCAAGCTGGCTGTGGTAAAAAGCAGGCACTGTGGCCTTCCAATATCTTACTTTCCAGAAAGCTGGGAGGCATTATTCACCATGGCCTGGCTAATAAAGAGGCAGGCCAGCTAAAGGCTCTACTTTGCCTGGTGGACTGTGTGGGGGGGAGTTTGCTAAATGGCAAACCGGCCTCCTCAACCAAGGAGGGGCCCTTGAACAATGGAGGAGGGTGAGCGTGAGCTCAGATCTGGGGTAGCACGGGGATGAGCCTCTCAGGTACGACTCACATTTATTTCCTGGCGTTTTGCAACTCTCCGCATCAGGAAGCTCATGGTACTTAAGAAAACAAAAGTGTCCATCTGGTCTTCAAAGCCCGAATGGTGAGGCTGGAGAAACCCAGGCTCTGGAGAGCCAATGACCATCTCTAGGACATGCTGTGGCTCAAAGGTACCATCATGGGGCCTCCGGAGCCCTTCGCATATGGACTGAACTCTGACCTGGGGTTCAGACTTTGGACTCTGCTGGAGCACTGTGGGCCAGTCACTTAATCTCTGAGCATCTACTGTCTCTTCTAGAAAACAGGGCCAAGGACCTGGTCGGAGGGCAGAGGCGCAGGGGTAGACCTCAAACTCTGATGGCTGCATGCAGCCCAGGCCCTCCTTGACCCCTCCCCTCCCCTCCGCTTCCTGCCCAGGGATATCTATGACCATGGAGGTCACCCTTCGCTAGCATAGGCTGCATGTGGGGTGTGACCACAGGACCCTTCTAATTCCCCAAGTAGAATGACAGCTTTGTTCCAGTCCACACCTGGACATTTGGAGTCCAAACAATGGTCTTCTGCCTCTTACTCTGTTGGGGAGCTCCCCTTCTATGTCTTCTGACAATTCTGACACAGAACACTCCCAAAATGCTTTCTTATTGATCAGAACCCAAACTGTTGAGAGCTCGCTTACATTTCCCTGGGCCTTTGGGATACACTGGTGACCCTTCTCAAGCTGAGTCCGACATGGTTGGCCATGAGACAACATTTCTTGGCATGGTTCTATAAAAGGCTGGGCCCTCCGATCGATAAGACAAAGTTAGATGAGATCAGAACAGGTTAGTCCTGGGGACTGTGCCTCCTGGGGACCCAGCGTAAACACTGGGTGCTGGGTTTGGGGCAGGAAAAATGGCCTGAGTTGTCAAAGCGCTTAGTCACAGATATTAATGCCTTGAAAGCTCTGAGCGTCTCTGAGAAACAGGCAGGGCCAGCGTTAATGATTCTCCATTGCAGCGATAAAGAGACTGAGGGCCAGAGAGGTTAAGATACGTTAAATGGTGAGTCAGAGCTGTAACTCAGCCCCTTGATGCCTCTCTCACAGGACTCGAGGTTCTAATGGCATTTTTGCAAGAGCCTTCAAGTGAAGTTCAAGTGAAGCCTCCTCCAAAGGAAGACATCCTGGCAACTCCATTCTACGTGTTATTACATTCATGGAGAAACTGGACTGTTGGCCCGGTTCTATTGCTTTGGTCAGATCTCTGATCAGGGAGTAAATAAAAAGGAGGTGTTTTTGGTCTTCCCCAAATTCGCAGTTATCCAGAAGCTGCATTTTAGCATAGCTGGCAAACTGGAACCTGAGAAATTGGCTTTTGTGCCCTCCAGGAGTTTGGAGGAGTTTGTATTCTCATTTGCAGGGAGGTGGCATTTCTGGGAGGACCCGATCTGGGTAAGTTTTGCTTTCTAATGGCCAAACCATCTCTCCTTCCAAACCAAATTACTGCCTGGGCCAGGCAGCTAAATCAAAACGCATAGTGGCTAGAGGAGTGTGGGGGGCTGGAGGAGGGCCAGGGCCTGGGGAAAGGCACCAGGCCTCCTTGGCCCCAGGTCACAGTGGCCAAGTGAGGACGAGGACACATCGCCATGTTGCCAGATTTCCAGACAAGGGCCCCCAAATCCAGATTTTCAGGCGAAATCGCCCTGTTTTTAAATGTTAGTAGCTAATTCCAGAATGTTTATGATATCACGCAGGCCACGCAAAAACTGGGGGCCCTCGGGCCACCCAGTCTGCAAACTTGGGGTGAAGAGACATCAAGAGAAGTGAACGGGGAGTTTTCAGTTGTGAAGACCAAAAAAGAAACACAAACACCCTCTGCTGCCATTAGAAATTTTCCTTAGAAAATCAGACGTTAGCGAATGTCCCTAGAAGTTCTCTGGTTTTTGGGAAAAGGTTCCCTGGCAGGCCTCCTGGCCGGTGCTCATGTGGGACAGCGGTACTTACCTCAGCTCCCCCCTCCCCCCAGGAAACAGGCCTCAGAGGTAATGGGTTCACAGATACTAGGGCAATGAATAAAAGAAGAGCTGAACAGCAAAGAAGTTTTCACATCTGATTTACGTTGCGGTGCTCTTTCACCCTCTCTGCACCCCCACCCCGGGCTGCAGGCCAGGCTCTAGAAGATGGCTCTTCCTTTCTGCCTGCCCCCCCCAGAGCCCCCGCCTGCCTGCCCATGCATTGTGCGGACCCTCACCCAGGGGTCCTGAAAGTGAAGGGAAGTGCTGTTTGCCCCTGACCCCCCTCCACGTCCGTTTCGGCCAAGGCCCCTCCGTGTTTACGAGGCTTTTGTGATGGCCAATGGCCAAGCCCCCCGAGGGATGCTGGGGCACAGGCCGCACACAGCACAGGGCAGCCAACTGGGATCCGGGGCACGCTGCTCCATACTTTGGGAGGCATTCGGTTTCCTTCTGAATGCACACGGCACAGGGTCATGGGCAGGTGCAGAGCTTGGATAGAAAGCGAACTTGCCTGGGTAGCCTGGGTAGCCTGGGACTGCCTCATGCAATGGAAGCCCACGTGATTGCTGAGCTCCTGTTTGCAGAGCTCCCGCGCGGGCAGGCAGGGTGGAGACGCAGGCCCGCCGGACTCACCTTGGACCAGTCCCCGGTCTTCCACTCATAGCAGCCCGAGTAGTCCTCGCACGCCTCCTCTGCTTTGGGCCTCGTGGACGCATCGCATTTTCCTTGCGAGTTGGTGCACGTCACAGTTCGTTTTCGCGTCCCTTTGCCACAGGTGGCCGAGCACTGCAAGACACGGTTTGGATGTTTGATCCGGTCTGGTGCAGCTCAAGGTCATCAACGCCTATTAAGTCACAACAATGTGCCAGCCCCAGGGCCGCGGACGCAAGGATGAGGATGCTGCTGGACTTCTAGAGTCTGAAGCACATGGTCCCAGCTGTGACTCCAGCCAAGTGGCCAGTGACGGGGGGAGGGCCACAGGAGTGGGGAGAGGTCCAGGTACCAGAAGACCAAACTAGGAATTTAGTGGCCTGCTACCAGGTCCAAAAGACTGATGCAGTGGAGAAGTTCAAGGGGCAAATGCTGGTGGACCCTTGAGCAGAGCAGGGGACGGGGCCAGGGGAAGCCAGGTAAGGACACCCAGGCAAAGATGTCTGAGGCCCTTGACTCCTCCGAGCTGGCCTCTAGCTCCGTGCACGCTGCCTGGGCCAGCCTGGGGCAAAATGACAGGCTCAGGGTGGAACACGGGGAGATGCAAACCCAACCCACAGGTGACTTTCATGTTAGGCCGTCGGCAAGCTCTTGTAGAGAGCTACAGTGACTGTGTTAAGTGTGGATGCCAAGAGCATCACTGAGCAATGGTCCCTGTGGTAATTTACCTACTTCCCGGGAGACACTGCAAGAGAAAGTGTGGTGCAGGGACCCAAAGAGGGCCTGAGGAATGACAAATCATGTGCGAGCCCTGAGAATTCAAGATTCCCATGCCCTCAGGCAGCAAGACCCACAGAAGAAGGGGTGAGCGGTGGGGTGACAGCTGTGAACAGGGTGGACCTGCGGGGTGTATCTGGAGCCTGCTCCTGGCGTGCTCCCCCTGCACTCAGGGAGGGACCTCGCCGGGCTCCGAGATTGCTTAGCCACCTCAAAACAAAGCAGAAGGAAGCCCAGGCAGAGCAGACCTGTGACCTTGTGAGGATGGGACTGACTGTGCACGATCCGGCCAGCAAGAGGAGGTGACGCGTCCTGCAAACCCAGGGAGCTCTCTCTTATTTGCCGGGTACGGAAGCCCTGCCTGTCTCCACCATGGAAGCAAACACGTAACTTGCGGAGATGTTGGCCTGAAGGCTGTATTCTGCCAAGAGGTACAGACACAGTGAGCCCCAGGCTCCCAACAGCTGGGTCCTAGAGCTATGGCGGGGACAGCCCATGCACTGTGGTGGCACAAAATGGAGCCCTCACAAGTCGAGCGTCTGCTTTCATACTTGCTTGATTTACCAGAAATATACAGCAGATATTCTTGAGCCACAGCAAACTTGATTTTTTAAAAAAGTTCCACTGTGTCCCCTGGGAAAATGCACCTACAGGACAAAAGTTGTTCTTTATAGTTCTATTATTAACATTTATCCCAAAATGTTATGTAGCTTTATTTTTCCAATGAGTTCAATTTAGCTCTCCGAGGCTTTTTTTTCTTTCTCTCTCTTTTTTTTTTCTGAGACTAACTTAGATTGGCTTGTTTTAGAAGAAATACACATACTTCAGAACTGGTTGTGGTGTCATCTGGGGGGAGCTGGAGAACATGCGCATTTGGTCCTGTGTGCGGGTGAGGGGTCGGCTTTATAGGATCTTGGATGCAAGGGGTCAGTCCAGAGCAGGCGTCACCGTCTTGGGCAGGATGGGTTGTGGCTGGGAGGGCCACTGCTGGGAGCCTGGGTTACCGAGCTGAAGGTCAATCTCTCTGCTTCTCTGCATGGTGATGCTCCCTGACCATTTCATTAGCTCTGCCTTGACCATTTGACTTGTGGGCTCCTCCCTCGCACGCACCCACACCCACGCTCTTTCTTCAACTAGAAGCCTACTCACCACTTCTGCCAGACTTCCTGCATTGTCTTACTCTATTCTGCATTCCCTGTTCCTTTCCCTTGAATTTCAAACACTGTAATGTCTAGCCTGTTTCTTGACCAAACGCTGGCTCAGCCCTTCTGACCAGAAGGTGGGGCTTCCTCTGGAGGGACCTAGGACAGGAGACAGTCACTCTCTTTTGCTTCCTTCCTGGTATCTGCTCCTCATTCGAACAAAGCTGGGAAGAAGCTGGGGGGTAGACAGTATGGGTGATCAACACTGCTGGCTACATGTAAAGGCAGCCTCCTCAATAAAATAAATTTCTCTGCCACGAGAAATTTAAACCCACTTATTTCCAGAAGAAGGAACATTAAAGGGGCTTCAGCACTGGGGCGCCTGGGTGGCTCCGTCGGTTAAGCATCTGCCATCAGCTCAGGTCATGATCCTGGGGTCCTGGGATCGAGCCCCATGGTGGGCTCCCTGCTCAGTGGAGGGTCTGCTTCTCCCTCTCCCTCCGCCCCTCCTCCTGCTTGTGCTCTCTCTCTCTCTCTCTCAAATAAATAAATAAAATCTTTAAAGGGGCTTCAGCATGTGGTGAAGCAGTAGAAATACCAGTTTGGTGAGCATCTCGTGAATGAGGGCAAGATTTGATTCCAAGTTGACTGTTCAGAAAGAGGCATTTGGCTCGAGCCTAGGGTGAGCCAGAAGGAGACTGATTGGTATGGATACTATTTCAGCATTAGGATCAGGCACACACAGAGATAGAGATGTGAAATTAGAGAGATTTCTTTAAATCTTGCTTCAGTTGTCTCACATTTTCCAGTCTGGTGTTCTTTAATGCTATGGTGATAGCTGATAATGTCAGGCTTGGTTATTTTGGTAAGGACATTTTTTTTTTCTATGAGAAAGAGTCTGAATGGAAAATTTATGGCTTTGATCTGATTAAAACATAAATCTTGTTTGGATCAAGAACCAGGTGATCAAGAACCTCAGGCTCAAGGTGGGTTGGCGGGGGTGGGGGTGGGGATGTGAGACTGCATGCCTGACCCTACCCCTCCAGCAAGTAGTCCCCCTCCCTAAAAGAGGTCCCTTGACTGTTCCACTTACAGTCCTAAGTACATATAAAAGATAAAAATTTTAAACTCTCTCTTTTCCCTAAAATATCATAAAGGGCAGGCTAAAGACTCAGGTCTTTAACGGGTACATGTCAAGATCTGTCTGAAAAGTAAACCCCATTTCAGAGTAGCCAAGGGCAAACTTTTCGTTCATTAAGAATGGGCTGAATACTTTCTTATTCAAAATAATTCCAACTGTTTGGCAATAAAAAAGGAACTTTAAAAATATTTTCCACACTGAAGAGTGTCTTGGATTTAGCCTTTCTGACTTTCCTAGAACACATTTGATGGAGGACCTGAGGGAAACTTGCCCTTTGTTCAGCTTTTTATTTTATGGCCAAACAGTCAAAATATTAAAGCAAAGTCAATGCAAAGCCTTGAAGGATGATATTACCAAAGATAAAATATTTCCAGAATCAGTCTTTCAAGTTAAAACTTAAGGCTTAATTGACCTCTTTCCAAAATGTTTTATGGCATGAGATGTGTGACTCCAACTTGTACACTAAAAACTGTCCCTCCCAGTGTCTGCTTGCCTCTTACAATCCACAAAGACTGGCACAGAGCCTTCCCAACTGATTGCACCAGAATTCAAATACATACATCAAAAGAAAATAAGAAGGTCAGTTGGTTAGTCAGTTGGTCTGTCTACCTACCTACCAACCTACCCCCCAACCCACCCACCCAACCATGCATCCATCCATCCATCTACCCAACCAACCAACCATCCATCCATCCATCCATCCATCCATCCATCCAACCATCCAACCAACCATCCATCCATCCATCTATTGATCGATCGATCGATCCATCCATCCCTCCATCCATCCATCTTTACATGAGAATTTTCATAGGAAATGGGATCGAACTGTGGTAAATATTGTCAAAAACATATATATGATCAAAAACACATTACCCATGTTTGTTTAGCCATACTGTCACCTCAGATGGAATTTAAGAATATGTGAGCTAGAACACATCTTTCTTAGTTATCTGGGGGCTGGCAAGCACTGTGATACTTGGGTTTGAGTCACAAATACCACAGAGGGAAAGGCACCATGTTGGGGTCCCTGTGGAGAAGGCAGCCTGGGCACCCACCTGTGACCACTCAGATGCCTCCCAGATGGACAGGCAGTCCTGGCCTTCGCAGCTCTGCACTGGTGCTGGCCGGGGGCCTGGGCAATAGAGGGGCCGTGTGGTGACGTGGGTGCCATTCTGCAGCTGGTATACGCAGGTCACCTCCCGATGCTGGATGCCCTTTTCACATGTCGCTGAGCAGGGGCTCCATGGGCCTGCCACCCACCTGTCCAGGAGGAGGAGAGACAGTGAAAGAGTAACTGGGTGGGGAGGCCAGCTTCCCTGGAGGGCCTTCCAGACACATCATGGCATCTTGGGCCTGTAACGCGAGGAAGGGAGATGGACGCAGAGAGCTTTGCAACTGACTTTCAAAATAATTCTGAAGTATTAGAGCAGAGGGAGTCCCATGAGTTGCATGGGTCAATGGCTTATTCAAAACAGAAATCCTTCTGCACACAACACCTCTATGGCAGGTTGAATTATTGTTCCTGAGCGGTCGCTCTCCCTGTGGCAGGATTACATATCCCACCCACTGTCTATGCCATGCTTTGTTCAATGGGGTGTCAGTAGACATGAAGCTGGCCATGTCCCAGCAGAAGCTTTGAGTGTGATTATGTGGTTTGGCTCTGCTTCTCTCCGTTTCCTGCCCTCTGCCATGAGAATAGCAGGTCCCAACACAGGGGATGCTCTGACGGCTGAGCTCTGTCATAACAGGACACTGCTGTCAGCCACTGAGATGCTGGGGTGGTCTGTCACCACAACAAAACCTAACTGGTACATCCCTTGACAGAGGACGCCCTGGTACCACCTTGAACACACCAGGACCAGGGACTCCCTGATTTCCAAAGAGTGGAGGACTTCTTGGGTGGGGACTGTCACTCTTGAGGAGGCAACTCATGCGCTGGGATAAGACTGAGCTGGTGAAAGTGCTCCACTAAAATTTGGCCTACCTGCCTTCCATTTCAATGACCCCAATTCGACCAGGGTCTCGGTTGGCCTCAGGGTGTTGGAAAGAAGCTGAGCGGTTGGAAATCATGATTTCTCAGGACACAAATGGGGCTTTGAATGCCCTTTTGGGGACACAAAAGGACTCTCTCCTCCTTCAGTCCCTGCACGAGCCTCAGATCCTCTTAGCTCCGAGGAGCTCACCACTTGACAAAATGGCTGAATCCATTGATGGCTGGCTCTGATAAACATTCAGTTCTTCCTCATCAGTTGGAACAGTCCTAAGATCCTGAAACCAAATCTGATCATGCCATCCTACTGTTTAGAAACGTCAGTAGTGTCTTCCCACTGGCAGCGTTCTTGAGGAGACGCTGGGTGGTGCCAGGCCTCTCTTCATCTCCAGTCCTAGCTTACTTGCTCATTCATCCATCCCAGCATGGCACATTCACTGAGGGCCTCCCATGTGCCAGGCACTGTTCTAGGTTCTGATGATGAGGCAGGGAACAAAACAAAGCCTTGCCCTCTGAATCTTACTATCCTGATGGGGACAGACAGTAAACCAAGGAATGATATACAATAGAGTATATATAGTGTATATTATATATCATACATGAATAGAGAAGATGCCACATGGTGGTAAGTACTTTAGAGAAAAGTAAAGCAGTGTAGAGCAGAGCAGGGAGGAGGTGAGGGGTGAGCACATAAGGTGGCAGGGACGGCCCCACGGATAAGCTGACATGTGAGCAGAGCCTGGAAGGAAGCAAGAAAGTCAGTCATGTGGTTCCTTGGGAAAGGACTTTTGGGCAGAGGGCACAGTGGATGCAAAGGCCCTGGGGAAGAGTGTGCTGGCAGAGCAGAGGAGCAGCAAGGAGTCCGGTGTGGCTGGGGGAGGGGTGAACAGAGGGAGGGGCAGGGAGAGGAACATGAGAGAGGACAGGGTGAGATCCTACAGGCCCTGGCTGGCCACTGTGGCTCTTGTTTGAATAAGATGCAGTCCCAGAGGGTTTGGAGAGAGGAGTGATGTGCCCCCCAGGCTTGGAGAGGGTCATTCTGGCTCTGGGCAGATACCAGTCTATAGGGCAGCAACAAGGAGACTAGGGAGGAGGCTACTGCACCAGTCCAGGTAGGAGATGAGGGTGGTTTGTACCAGCTGGGGGTGGTGGCAGTGGTTGGGCTAAATGTTGAGAAGATGGAGCTACCCAGGCCCCCTCCCTCCACCCCTATACTGTTCCTCCTTGTCCCTTAGGGCAAGCTCAGGTGACCTCCTCTGACTTCCAGTCCCCTTGGTAGAGCCATCACTGTCCTCCATGCCCCCAGGGAATAACTGCAGAGAAGCTCCTCTTACCAGACCCCTTGCCTATGCTGTGGGATGGAAGTGACTGTGCCTACCCTGGGACAAGGGACATATCGCCTGTAAGCTGCTTACACCAACACCTGGCACACCTAAGCCTGTATAACTCTTAGCAATTGTTCTTCTTCATCTCTTCAGTAGATGATGAAGTCCCAGAGGTGAGCAAATCCTGCTCCCATTTCAGCACTTGCCAAGTGCTTGAACAACACTATCAGAACAAAACCAAATCCTACCCATTTCTCCTCATTCTGGTCTTTAGAGTAACATGATTGGCTTCTTAAATATTTGAAGATAGCTCTTTTGTTCCCCCAAAGCTTTCTCTTATCTTGGTCAAAATAATTTGCATGTGGCAGATTCTGAATCCTTTCTGTTCTAATTCTCTCATCAGTCACTACTGTTCTCAAAATGGATTGCTTTGTCGTGGGCAAAATGGCCCAGATGTGGTCTGAAAGCAGCAGGAGAGAATGTGATGGTTTTTTTCCCTCTTTAAAGGGAGGCTCTGGTTTCATTAAAGCAGCTCAGCTCTACACTATGTCTGTTTTTAAGCAAGCAGACTGCACCTAGTAGCCCCAACGACTTCTCTTATTTTTCTCCTGAACTGACTCTCAGCCATATCTCCTTCATCCTGACCTTTTGCCATTGACTTCGTGAATACAAATGTCAGGCTCTAGCTTGAGACCTGTTCAGTGCTCCTGCGTTGACCTCAACTGTGAGAAGAACTTTGTATCCCCCTCTTGTCTTTTTTTTTTTTAAGATGCTATTTATTTATTTGCGAGAGAGAGCAAGCACAAGCAGTAGGCAGAGGGAGAAGCAGTTTCCCCACTGAGCAGGGAGCCCAATGCTGGACTTGATCCCAGGATGCTGGGATCGTGACCTGAGCCAAAGGCAGATGCTTAATGACTGAGCCACCCAGGCATCCCCCCCACTTCTCTTTTGTATTTTCTGTGCTTCCCAGGGGTCAAGTTGGGAAGCGGGACCTCTATGTCCTACTCACGGGAATGTTACCTGCCTGTGGGCGTGCATGCTGTTGGCCAGGGGGCACCAGCATCTCCAGCTCTGGACACACAACCAGAGCATGGGCTCTAGGGAATATGCAAGTTGACTCTGGTCTACACAAAGGTCACATCTGGGCAGCTGAGGGGATGGGGAAGAGCTGAGAGAGGTTGAGCAGTCCTCCCTCAGACATCTCCTATCCCTCCTGTTCCATCACAGACTGGAAAAGTCAGACCCACGGGGATCAGCTTCCTGTAGAGCTGGGAGGGGTTACCTTTCTTTCCTGTTCTTCTTTCCTTTGCCTCTGGTGTCTCCTGGGCCTTTGAGGTGCTTTGCAGAAGGATGACAGAATGCAAAACAGCCCATGGATCCTACCTTCCTTGCCAGAAGAATCCTTTGACCCCCTGCAATGTCCCTCCTTGCCATTGCCTAGAGTCTGGCAGGAGAATGGGGGACAGAGCCCTAAGCACATGCAGATGTGCACGAAACTGATCTATGGTCTGCCCTGCTCCCTAAAGGGGGGAATTCTCTGTCTCCGGGAGCTGTGTAAAAGGGCTCCCCCTGCTCCCCTCCTTGAGGGCTAGTTACTGTCAGATTCAAAACAAGCCCTGTCTGAGGCCAAGGCAGACTCCCCAAACCACTGTGGTTCTCACGGACAACATGATGGGGTGAGAAGGGGGCACGAATGCACTCCACACCCGCAAGTCCCACATGGGGCAGCTCAGGGCACCTTCCCAGCTCTCTGTCCCCTTGCCCTTCCTTCTCCCGCTCCAAATTCCCAGCTCCGCACAGGGTTGCAGACATACAGATGCAAATACGGCACACCGCCTCAGGAGACAGACAACCAGCCAGCCAATCACCATCAGTGAACAAGGCTCCCTGCCCAGGCGGAGGAGAGCACAGCGCTGTGGTGGCATGGGGAGGTGTCTCACTCCATCTAGGGGTGAGTCTGGGGGAGGCGATGTCTGAGCAGACCCTTAAAGTACAAGCAGAGGTAACTGGAAATAAACTCGGCTGTTGCATATTGTTTTACTCAGGGGCCCTTTGTCATTCTAATACTTGATAGGTTTAAAAACAGTGATAGGAGTATTGAATCACTATACTGTACACTTGAAACTAATATTACACTGTATGTTAACTAACGGTTATTTATTTTTATTTTTTTAAAGATTTTATTTATTTGTGAGAGAGAGGAGAAAGACGAGAGAGAGAGAGAGAGAGAGAATGAACACGAGGTGGGGAGGGGCAGAGGGAGAGGGAGAAGCAGACTCCCTGCTGAGCAGGGAGCCCGACGTGGGGCTCAATCCCAGGACCCCGAGATCATGACCTGAGCCGAAGGCAGACTGAGCCACCCAGGTGCCCCCTAACTGGAATTTAAATAAAAACTTAAAATAAAAACAGTGATGGGAAAATATTTGGGTGCCCCTGTTCATGGCAGCATTATTCACGGTAACCAAAAGGCAAAAGCAAGCCTAGTGTCCGTTGGTGGATACATGGATAAACAAGATACGGTAAGTACGTACAACAGAATAGTACTCAGCCTTATAGAGGAAGGACCTCTTGTCCCAGGCTGCAGCATGGGTGACCCTGGAGGACATTATGCTGAGTGAAATAAGCCAGTCACGAAAGCACACGTCCTGAATGATTCCACTTAAGTGAGGCAACTGAAGGAGTTAGATTCACAGAGGCAGAAAGTAGAATGGGAGCTGCCAGGTTGGAAGGAATGGGGAGCTCGTGTTTAATGGGTGCGGAGCCGCACTTGCTCTTCCAAGAAGTAGACAGAGTTCTGGAGAGAGTCAGTAGTAATGGGTGCACAGCTCTGTGAACATACTTAATGCCACTGAACTGTAACTTAAAAATGGTTAAGGTGGTAAATTTCATGTGTATTTTACTACAATTTAATTTAAAAAAAAAAGCGATGGTTAGAAACAGGGAGT